TAAGGTACTATTATTATTATTACAATAATAGCACTGGTAGTATAGTTTATTAAATTTTTATTATRTATATASATATAATATGATAATGTAGATAATTATTGTGTACTGTATATATATTGCACATATATATATATTATTTATTGATTACAATTACTATATATRTATGTATGTCTATCTCAGAGCACTGTCCACTCGTACATTGGCCAGTATTTGGTGGTTTTTTACATTAATAATGATATCGTCCTATACGGCCAATTTGGCCGCATCGTTGACCCTGTCGCGTATGGCACCGGCCATATCCAATATCGAAGATCTGGCCAAACAAACAGTCATACAGTATGGCTGCCGAAAGGACGGCTCGACCTACATGTTCTTCAAAGTATGTGTTTATCTCACATTTTTYTCTCTCTCTCTCTCTCTCTCACACACATAATATATGATACATTATATTTAATATACAATATACTAACGTTATATGAAATTATTTTTCTCTGACTATATTTACTTATGAATTGGTAAATATCAGAAAGAGAGAGAGAGAGAGAGAGAAAGAGAGTAATGACATGTGATGTTAGCCTCTTTCACAAAAATCTCTATCCCTTGTAGGCATTAATATTGTTTGCTGTCTGTCTATGTGTGTGTGTGGGTATGTGTTTGTGGACAGTCGTTTATATATACTGTATATATAATTAAATGTCATTTTTGTAATATAGAAATATATCATATTGTACTTACAAGTATATGACATTTTCATTTAATAAATTCATATATTTATTATTATATAATACTGTATTATATGCATATAAATTATTTAATATAAGATTTACAGTGTATAGTAGTATAACAATATACAGTGTATATATATAACAATATTTTTTGTTAAGTATTAGTTTAGTCCTACAAAATTAAATTGTAAATTGTAATTGAAATATATATATWTAATATATATAAATAAAATTTTTCTATGTTTTACAAATTAACAGAAATTCAATGATTTGAATGAAACCATTGATTAATATATTAAACAAAAAAAATATTTTTGACGATTGTGTTTAWGTGTGTTATATAACTTATATGACATATAAATATCCTAATAATTTATATTATAATTTAAATGTTGCAATGATGTGAGATAAAGTCATACATCATATTATTTATATCATAGTATAACCCCATAAATACTATAATATTAAAATTTTTTTACATTTTTAAAAATATTATATATTGTAGACAATGTCAGTAGAAATTATAATATAAAAAACAATAATTATATTTTCTATATATAATTTTTTAACAATAATAAAAAAAGAGATTGTCATTTATTTATATCATAGATATATATATATATAGTAAATACCATATCTATTGAATTAAAAACAGTCAACTATTATCTTATATTTTATTTTATTTAAAAAAAGTCTTGACATTTAATTTAACTATTATTTTTCAGTACAACTAATTTCAAGTATTGATTCAATCAATAATATTATATAATAGTACTACTCTTTTATACCCTAAATAGTCACTCTCTCTCTCTCTCTCTCTCTCTCTCTCTCTCTCTCTCTCTCTCATACAGTACTTACTCATTCACTCAAAAGTATAATGACTTTAGCGGTCAATAATAATAATAGATATTATATATATCTGTGTGTAAGCAACTTATAAAATATATTATCATATTTACAATTTTTATATAATTTTTTTTATTGATTTAAGTTATGGGCAGAGAGAGAGAGAGAGAGAGAACTTTTTTATAATAGATTTTTAGTAAAATCGTTTTACTCATACAAACCGAAAAAAATATTAAACTATTGATATAATATCGACTTATATTTTTTAATAGCCATTTCTATATATATATATATATATATATATATATATATATATATTATAAATGTTATAATGTTATAATATATATATATATATATATATATATATATATATACTGTATATATATATAATATATAAGTTTTTTCTCACACACAAATGTATTCAATCGATCGATACCATTGTAGAGGCAATTCCCAGCCATAATAAACTTCAATGGGTTAACATATATCTATATATAGTTAACATACTAGTGCTTGCCTTATCTCACCCACTCACCCGCTCTGTGTTTCTCTCAGTCTCTTACAGTCAGTCAGTCCTACTCACCCCCAATGGATAAGATAACACGCGAATAGATTAGAGTCAATTGATCTAAAAAATACAAAAATAAAACAGTAAAATAAAAGACAATACCAAAAAATATATACTAAAAAGTATTGTACAGTACTGTATGTATGTATGTGTTAAGTGGACACATACACATACACATACATACACACACACACACACACACACACACACACACTATATAACACTTATATTTTATTTGTTAATTTACTTGACAATGCAATCGATTGATTAAATATAATAGACTTTTTTTGCACATACACTGTGTGTGTGTATGTGTGTATATATATATGTATGTGTGTGTGTGTGTGTGTGTGTTTATAATGAGAAAAAAGTGTATACACTATATATATATATAAGAAACCTATTTGTGTGATGTATTTGTTTGATTAAAGCAAATAATTCAAATCAATTAATTAAATATAATGTGACTTTTTTTTCGTTAGTCTGTTTGTATATTTGTTTTTTAGTTTTTATTTTCTCATTTTGTCGTTTAAATGATTAAACTATAGACTATATACTGTATATAAACAGTATATTTAAACCAAGTATTTACAATAAACAGAAAATTAATTTTTTTTATATAAAGTAAATAAAAAAAATGTAATTTTATTTTTAACAATTTATTTTTTTAGACATTTATAAATATTGATTAAATTTATTTAGAGATATGCAAAAAATTTAAAAATAAATTTTTATTACAAAATTTTTATTATTATTATTATTATTACCAGAATTCAAATCACTCGACATATCAGCGAATGTTTAATACAATGGAAAGCAATCCCGAAGTATACATCAGAGAGACCTCTCAGGCCATCGATCGGGTCAAGAAGGGTGGATACGCCTATCTAATGGGTATATAACTTATATATATATATATATATATATATAATACTGTATCCATATAACTAACTATTCATCAATTACTATAGTATTCAAAGATAGTTAGATAGAAAGAGAGACATAAAATATATTGATAAACAAAAAGTGCTSATATGTTTGAACACACACAACCAATGATAAAAATATTAAATAAAAATAATGTTTTTCTATCATTACTTTTTTTGTGGAGGGGGTGGGCGGGGGAGGGAGTGATGTACTGTATACTGTAGCTATTGATGGACAGTTGTGTTGTATGTACAAATATTGTACAAATTTTTATAGTTGTCTATATATTTAAATGACACCAATATTATTATTATTATTATCAACAATATAGGATGTGATGATAGTGTGTGTGTRTGTGTGTCMACATGTATGTGCCATTAAGTTTTTAACTATTTTATTATACTCCACTTACCCGCCTATYCACCTACCCAACCACCCTACCCCCAAATGTAGAGTCATCATCGTTGGAGTACGAAGTTCAACGTGACTGCGAGCTCATACAGATCGGCTCCTGGCTGGACAACAAAGGCTACGGTATCGCTACGCCGCCCGACTCGCCCTATCGGACACCCTTATCCAATGCCATTGTCGTACTACAGGACAAGGGTATGCTGTACGAGCTGAAACAAAAATGGTGGGTCAAACTGGGCGGCGGCAAGTGCTCGGATGAACCGAAACTTAGTTCAAGTGCTGCCGAATTGAACATCGAAAACGTCGGCGGCGTTTTCGTAGTACTGGTCACTGGTGTCGGCATTGGCTGTGTGTTTGCCGCACTCGAGTTTATCTGGAAGACCATGAAAGTGGCCCGACATGAACGGGTAGGTGTCATTGAAAAATTATTATTTAATTTTAATTTTTTAATTTTTTGTTGTTGATTGGATAATTTATATGTGTTTATAATAAATAAATATTTTAGTAGTTTTTATTTATTTTTAATTTATAAGGTTTATAAAATCAATTGAATTTATAAATTAATTAATAAATTAATAATAATAATAATAATAATTATGATTTTGAAATATCACCTTCAAATAGTTTTCAACAAAAAATAATTTGAKTTATTTATCAAATAACTGTTTTTTAAAACTTTATATTTTTTATGTATATAATAATTATTAAAATATATGTTAAATTACTAAATATTTATTWTTTATAWRAAATATTACATTAAAAACGTTTCAATTAGTTTATTTTAATTATTAAATTTAAYGATAATTTTCAAAATAATTAATTTTAAAGTACCTGTAATTATATTTACTATTTGCTAGAATCTTATAAATTYAAGAAAAAAAGGTTTAATATCTAAAGTATTTAACTATTTTTTTATTATTGAATTAGATAATAAAAAATAAACATTTTTAAAAATAAAATAGTTTAAAATATAAATAATAAAATATTAAATAAATGGATAAACCTTTTTATTTAAATGTTTTCATTAAATAATCTACAGTAATATTAAATGTCAATTTATCAAACTTTTTAGATTTAAATATAAATTTTAACAATTCTAATAATTTAATGGACAATTAATTTACTAATATTTTATTAAATGATATAATATAATATATTATTTATAATATTACATAATATTGATTATTATTAATAATAATTTTATTAATTTAATTAATAAATAATTCAGTATATGCATGTTTATTTATTTATTGATAACTTATTTATATAACTATTTAAACTTAAGTATTTACACTTAAGATTTTATTAAACTAGGTAATTTAATTACTGTAGTTACTAACTAATTAACTATAATTTTTTTAATTGCTTTAAACTAGTTTGAAAATTAAAAAAATAATAATAATTTTAATTAATTAATTAATAGTTAAAATAAACCAATGCTTAACCAATTGCTAATCAATTTGCACGTGTGCTSTGTGTGTGTGTGGTTGTATATGTAATAGGATGGCCAACATCATCGTCATCGTAATAGTGGTCGTAAAACACGGTGTCGGACCTGTTGTTGTTATTATCATCACTACAATCATCATCAATACATCAACAATCGTCAAACAACAACTACTACTACTACTATTAATACTACTATTAATAAAACTTCATCATTGCATCAAACAATGAATCATATGAACGGTTTTGTAAAATTTGAAGAAATTCATGTCCAACGACTCGAAACATCCGTTTGAACCAAAAAATAAAAAACCAAACAAATAGCTGATCAACAAAATAATTGATTGTTGTTGTTATTGTTGTTGATGTTTATCATTCATATTATTGTTATTATTCACGGACCTGACTACCAGATAGCAAGTTGTGAGGGACTGAGGGAGGAATGGGAGGTTAATGGCCGCACAGTCAACCATCAGCAGCAGCAGCAACATAGTAGTAGTAGTAGTAGTAGACCACACATGGCATAGTTTATTATTATCATCTATGATTTTAAATACTTGAAATGTCCAAAGTGTCCAGGGATTCAATTATAGGGAATTGAGAGATGGATAGATAGATAGATAAAAAGAGAGAGAAAGAGAGAGTTGGTTAGATTTAGTTGACACCCCCTTCCCCCCATCCTCCACATCCCCAACAAGTAAATTAGATGCACATATATTAACTATTTACTACTACTAGTAGTAGTAGTAGTAGTAGTAGTAGTAGTAGTAGTAGTTTCCATATGAAAACTTCCAGTAACTGCCGGGCACTGGGATCTCATTGATTCATTCATTCAGTCAATCGCTCACTAACTCAATCGCTAAACTTTTACAGTGTATATCTCATTGCTTAGATTAAATGGCAAACTAATGCTAATAATAATAATAATAATAACAAATTGATTTTATTTGTCGCTCCGGTATGTATGTAAAACTAATATATATATATATATATTATTTTGTATATRATAACTAAATTTTGACAATTTTTATGTGTTTTATTTTGAAATATATATTTTGCATGCATTTATGTTCAAGTTTAGTTACAGAAATCAAATTCAAATGTTAAACATAAAATAGATTATTATATATATATATAGTTATTTTTATTATATTTATATTTATTTATTGAATTTACATGTTATTATCAATAACAATAATATTCATACATTTATTATTTATATGAAACTATACATATGTATGATTTTAGTTTATGTATTTATATATTCAATATATATATATATAAATTTACTGTATATTATAAATATATATATATATATATATATTGTAGATAATATATTCTATTATACTGTATAATAGATATATGGATATCATAATAATATTTATATCCCAACACAAAATAAAATCAAATTTATTTTATTATATGTTTAATAGATATATATATAAATCTATATTTATAGGAATCTATATGCAAGCTTATATGGCTGGAAATTGTACGCATATTTACTGGTGGCGGATCCTCTAGACCGGTGCCCAATGCTGCCGGTTCTGGCAATACAAATACCAACCAATCGCTGGACTCGGACAGTGTACCCGAAAACGAGTCGATGGCCGATATTAACAACAAACTATTGGTCCGTATGGCCAGTAATATTAGTAATAATAATAATACTAATAGTAATAACTTAAACAACAACTATACTGTCAACAACAACACCAACACCAACAATGTCGGCAACAATATTAATAACATTAATCATAGGATAACACCTATCATGTATTAGAAGATGAAAAAAAATGTTTGAAGACATACAGTACTACTACTACTACTACATACCGTTCCCTCTATTTTTTCGAAGATAATACCAACCAAACAAAAATATATATATATACCAATATATAACTGATATCTTGCCAAACATATAAGTTGTTTGTATTTTCATCATTGCTATTTTGATGGGCAACAAAAAATTTATCATCATCATCAACAACAACAAAAATAAATAAAAATAATATAGAAAATTTCATTATTAATAATGTTTTATTCATGTTATGTTATCAACAATAACAACAACAACAACAACAACAAAATTATCATTAGTTATGAAATTAATTGATTATTATTATTACTTTATTATATCAGTTGTTTTCTTTATTTTCAGAAATATATTTCTAACTATTTGTTTGAACATATATWTATATATATATATATATACAGTATATCAATATATATTTATTATTAAAATGTTAATTTTTAAATTTATTAAATATATCTATATATTTAATATATATATATTTGTTTAACTATAGGTTAGATACTATAGTAAGTGTATCATTAGAATCCAATGGAAACATATTTTTGTTGAATTAATTAATAAAAACAAATAAAATTGTTATTATTTATAAATTATTATTTGTTTTTCTAACAAAAAAATAATCATTTATTGAACAATTGTTTTCGTATTATATTTTGATAAAATTTTAAAACAACGAAACATATATCTATAATATATAAATATAATAAAAAATTTTGTATTTTTGTAAACAGATATAAATAATTTAATTTTTGATACAAATAATAATTTTGTCAACAATTTTTTTTGATGACAATTTTTTTTGTATATTTGTCATAAAATGGTTATTACTTTTTTAAAACATACTTAATGCTTATTGTTAGCTTTTTCAAAAATTGAAAAATTAATAATGTAATATATKTATATATATATATATATATATATATATATATTGTACTAATTTATTAACTGTTTGAACTAAAATCAAAATAATTAATTAATAATAATAAAAATATGATTACAAATCAATTTAACTAACAAATGCTTTTAGTTATTAATCTAATATTTAGTTTATATTATTATTATTATTTCTAATAGAAATAAATTATAAATAATTTTGATTAATATTAATAATTTCAACATTTATATTAGTAAATTATATAAATATATATAGATTTAATCTAGTTAAATTATTTAATCTTAATTTTTAAAATAAAATTTTAATAGAWATATAGAAATAAATAACTAACTAATTAAATAACTAGCTAAAATTAGAAATAACACATTTTTAGACAAAAATATTATTTTTATCAATTTTTACAAACTATAGCGCTCTCTGTTAAACTAAGATACAAATAAAAAAAWTTTCCTATTAATACACTATAGAATTATAAATTCATAATTCATAATATAATTTGATAAATTCAAATTTATTTAAAAAAATAATTATTTACTTTTTAAGTGTTTCGTTTTGATTAATAAATATTTTAATTAAACGAAAATAATTTAAAAAAAATAATTACAGATAAGATTAGGATTATCTGATTTTATTCAATTAGTTTTTATTTTGACTCATAATATCTGATACAACAAAAATAACTTATATTTTAACATTGCATTGAATAATTTAAAAAATTTATATATTATGTAATACATAATATTATAATACTATACATAATATGTATAGTATTATAATAGAAAAAAAACATTTTCAAAAAATAATAGAAATATATATATATATATATATAATATTCTAAATAATAATATAATTAATTTAGAATAATTACTTTATATAAAAAATAATTTTTTTAAAACATTACAATTACCAGGCTAAGTAATTTTAAATAATAAATTKTTTTTAAAAAGTAATAAACCAAAATTATTAATATTAATATAATTTTTTTATTTTATAACTTATATACTGTAGAATATTCCCTAAGTGTAATACTAAAGAATATTCTCTATGAGGGAGGGGGAGGAATTAAACTACCGGTGCTCTATTTTACTGTTTAGTTATATATGAGTCCCACCCCTCATAGATTAGCGTCAATAAATGAGTTACATAGATGAGCACCGGGTGCAGACACCAGACTCGCCAAAATGGATTACATCACTCATGCTGTCCATTTGTCATTATACTGTACATTACCTGTACATCCAATGTTTAAAAATGTATAAAAAATTAAATACGTTGTTGTACTGTACTGTAGATGAATAAAATATTGTTTAATTTTTATTACTTTTAACATTAAAATACAAAACATAGTTATCATATATATATATAAAATATTAATTGATAAGTTAATAATAATAATAATAATAATAATAATTAAATATTAACATCATACAATAATTATTTTTAATATTTTTATTTTTTAAAAATAATAAAATAATTAATACATATATTTCAGTACGTTATTTATGAATTCCCGGGTTAACATGTCGGTATATTAATAGTAATAGTGTACATGTACACTCTTTCTCTATATATATGTTTTTTGCATGTATATATACTGTATAAAAATCTATGATTATATATATTATATACATATATATATATACACTGTATATAATCGGGTTGAGAGAGAGAGAGAGAGAGAGAGAGGAAAAAAATTTGGTTCAAAACATTATATACAAAATAATAATACTGTAAATGCATAGCCAGTGCGCCAACACATACATGAGCTCATAGATAGATAGACAGAGAGAGAGTGTATGTGTGTGTGTGTTGTTATTATATCATACGGTTCTCTCTATCAGTACAGTACTCTCTCACTATAATAGTCACACTCTCTAACAGCACATAGAGTTGTGTTGTGTGTTATTATTATTATTATTATATACAGTATTATTATTACAGTATATTTAAATATATATATATATATTATTGATGGTATATGTGTGTGCACTATTAGTAAAATATTATTAAAAAAAACCACCTAAGCACACACATACCACACATAGCATTGTTTTTTAGCTAAATTGGATTTGGGTATTATTGTTGGTTGGTTAGTTATCATAACTATCGTATCTATTTGTGTGTGTGTGTGTGTATGTATTTGGCCACCATTTTAGCCGCATATTTATTTGGACACTAGTATATCATTAAAAAAAAATTAATTACTAGTGATTTAGTGTTGTTTTAATTTTTTTTATTTGAAAGTGTTTTTACTGTATTAGTGTATTAGTGATTGTATGGCCACTGCTTGTTGTAGTTAGTGGTCATACCGTATATACTGTACTCTGGCATTAAAACACAGACACACACACAGTGTTTGCACATATGTTTTAATTTTTAAAACCAAACCAAAAAATTGAAAACTAAAATAATATTAAAAATTTTAATAATTAATAAAAAATTTAATAATAATAAAAATTAACTAAATTCTAAATGGATCGACCTGATTGATTTTTTCTAAAAAAAAAATTAATAAAATTAATATCTAGTAACATTTTATTAATTGTTAAAAAAATTATTTATATAATAATAATAATCATCTAGTACATTTTAATTAATTAATTAATATTATTATTAATTAATTAATACACATATATATGAGAGCCATGAAAAAAGTCGACTCCAAAGGCAAGTCGTCCGGATTTTTTCGGGGAATGTTCGACAATATCCGGTCGACTGTTCCCAGAGAGGGATCTAAAGGATCGAAATCCGAGTACGAAGTGGAGGAGACACTCAAACCCGACCAGTTTCAGGTCACTCAGGTATGTGTGTTGTCTTAATAATCACTCATATTTTAGTCAATAATCAATTAACCTCCCGGTGCCGGACACACACACACACACACACACACACCATATTTTAATTGTTTTTAATATAGTATTCCCGATAATTTGTGTTTCCCCCCCCCCCGAAAAATTCCCACCCCTGGGGTGTTATTCTAGTGTGTGTGTGTTGGCCAGGAATTACGGTATACTTAATATAAATATATTTGAATTTGTTTTATATGGTTATAGTTTTTAATTTATTTATTTATTTTTACATTTTTTTTAAAGTTTAAAAAATAAAACTAAAATTAGTTTTTAACTAAAATATTATGATTTTTTTTATTATTTAAAAATGACCTTGTATATTATTATAATTACTGTATTATAATTATAGACATAGTAGTAGTAGTAGTATTTACATAATTTATTTATTTAATATTATTATTATTATTATTGCCTTACCAATTTTGGTATTTTGTTTGAAAGTGACGTAGGTGAAATTAATTATTTAATAATAATAATAATAATAATAATAATATTTTATTGATGAAAAAAAAATTTATTATTATTATTATATAATTTTTTTTAAAAAATAGTAGTATTACTACTATGATAATACTACTATAAATAATTGATTATTTTAAACATATTTTTATTTATTATTATTAATATATTACTGTTATTATATATATATATATAATTTTAATATTGCCAATTGGCACAAAATATTTTTAAAAAAATTAAATTTTTAACTTTTTTTTTTTATATATATGCATTAATAAATTGATAACAAAAAAATTGTTAGTTATTGTTGTTTTTGCTATTACGACACTTGCTATATATGGCATTAATATAATATATATATATATATATATATATATATATATATAATTTTGTAATAATACTAATAATAGTTTTAAAATGATAATAAATTGTATTTTTTTCTTCCATCAWAACATGTTTTCAAATTTATTATTAATGTTATTATTTTTCTCAATTTAAAAAAAATRTGATAAAAAAATTTTGATTTCCATTACTATATTAGTTTCAAAACGATTTTTTTTAGTAATATTCAATAATAATAATAATATTATTATTAAACTAATAATATTTTAATTTAATTATGAATTTGTTGACTCTTATCTGCTGAATGAGCAAATATTTTTKTTGTTGTTGCAATTACTTAAATTTTTTTTCAATAAAATTTATATAATAATAATAGTAAATAGTAATAAAATGATAAGGAAAAAAATTTGTAATTTTAATTCAATAATAAGTGTGTGTATGTGTATGAGATATGTGAGCTAAATGTATAACTTAATGATAAATCAATTTTATGTAATTTATTTTTGTTGTTGATAATATTTTATAAATATATATTTATATATATAAAAAWTTTTTACTAAATAATATAAATGATATGATAGTGATATCATAGCTGCTGTTAGTTATGTGTGTGTGTGTGTGTATGTGTCTAATAATTTATTGACACAAATATATTGTGTGATATAACTTGAATTTTATTACTTGAAAAAAACATATAATATGAAATAATAAAAAAATAGTTTTTTTTATAAAAAATAAATAAATTTTTATTTAGTTTGCTATAATATGTTTAGTGTATAATGTTATAAAATACTGTATAGCTATGTTTTATAGTTTTATAGTAGATATTTATTTATTTATTTATTTAACTTTTTGGATATACAGTATATATATCTATATATTATGTAATTCAATGATAATCTCTTTATATGGTATTTCACTTGAAAACAACATAAGAGTCATTGAAATTCAATAGAAGTATTAATTTTTGAAATAATTTTATATATATATTACTACTATTAATATGTTTATTTAAAATTTAAATAAAATAAATATAATTATAATTTCAAATTGAAACTAATATTATTATTTGGTYTGTTATTGTTTATATAGAATATTTAATATAAACTATTTATAAATAGTATATTTATTTTATAAAAATCTATAATTTTTATTAAAAAATAAAATAAAATTATTTTACTTGAATAATTTTGTTGTTGTTGATATTGTAATTTATTTGATCAAATATTTAGATGATAATACACTAAGATTTTTTTGTTGTTGCAAAATTTCTATTAAAAATAAATTTGTTTTATTAATTTTAAAAAACTATATATATACAGGTATATATGAAATTCATATATTTATAATTTAAAAAAATGTCATTTAAATTAAGCACTAAATTTTGTATATATATATATAAAGTATATGTTATTTAAATAAAAAAATAATGCGATTATATTTTTAGTTTTTATTGTTTGAGTATGTTTTTAACTGTAATTTTTTGCTTATATTTAAAAAATTTAATGTAAAATCATTTCAAGCAAAAACAGCGCTTTTTAATAATCAATTTATTTTGCCATTTGTTTGTTTATTTATATATTTATAAATTATATATTTTATATACAGTATATACAATATATATCAATATATATATATATCAAAATATGTAACACAGAGTTTTCATTTAAAAAAAATTGCTAAAATCTAATGCATTTTATTTTGTTATTAGATATTATGTTATTTTTATATTGTTGTTCACCAAACATGATAAACATAAAAATTAAAATAACAATTTTTCCATCAAAAAATATATACATTTGGAAAATTAAAGTATTATATACAATACAGTCATACAGTCATATTTTTTAATATTATAATATTGATGTAAAATGTTTGCCTAAATTAAGTTAATATAAACAATTTAGTATTTTTATACATTATATTTAAATTACACTAATATAATATGAAATTTACATAATATTTTAAATTGTTTTCATTTTTCTGGCTTTAAATAATCAAAATATTTTTGAAAAATATTAATGCACTTGATTTAAGATATATAAATGGTATGTACTGTATATATATATATATATATATATATATTATGAAAATAAATTATCATTATTAATATCAAGTTTTTTGTTGTTGAAAATCTCTTTACAATTTTCATAAATTTAAATTTTATGAATTAATTTTCAAAATTATATATATTTTTTTTATAAACMATTGATTATCACAATGAGTGARKAATGAGTAGTACTTAGAAKTTTTGTTACACAGTATTAACTGTATATTTATTGAATTTTTTTGTTTTGTTACTATTGTTTAATACATATCATTGATAAACGTTTACATAGAGAGAGAGAGAGAGAGAGAGAGAGAGAGAGAGAGAGAGAGAGAGAGAGAGAGAGAGAGAGAGAGAGAGAGAGAGAGAGAGAGAGAGAGAGAGAGAAGAGAGAGAGAGAGAGAGAGAGAGAGAGAGAGAGAGAGAGAGAGAGAGAGAGAGAGAGAGAGAGAGAGAGAGAGAGAGAGAGAGAGAGAGAGAGAGAGAGAGAGAGAGAGAGAGAGAGAGAGAGAGAGAGAGAGAGAGAGAGAGAGAGAGAGAGAGAGAGAGGTCTATAATAAAACGTTTTCCTGTATATAATATTAGAGTACATGTATTTCACATTATTATTACTATTAGTATTATGATTATTATTATCGATTTCTTTCTCTCTCTCTCTCTCTCTCTCTCTCTCTATTTCATCATTTACTCAACAAATATAATGATTAGAATTTAGCCAAAAAAAATATATATATTATATTTATTTTATTTATAAACAGTAATATCTAATATACAGTATTTTATCMAAAGTTGTATAATTTATAAACTAATTTTTTTAAAATTTATATTACATGTTTGTAATTAATAACAAATATTAATATCTTATGTACATTAATAWTAATAATAATAATAATAATAAAATTATATTCAACTTTAATGACATACTAGTAGAAAATTTTTATTAATTTTTGTTTGTGTAGATGTTTTGCATATTAAAAGCGATTGCAATTTCTATGATATATAAGTCAATAAGTATTTTCTGCAAAAATAAATTAAAATTAGCTATAAATTAATAAACCCTATAATAATAATAATAATAATAATCTAGGCAGCTAGTTTTTGATAATTAATTAATTAATTATTTAGTTGAATATGACATTTATATGAGTTATTAATGTATTTTTTGACATATTTATCTATAGATTAAAATTAAAAATTATAATATTTATTAATATTAATATATAATGATGTTTTCGCAGTTATATTGATTTTTAAAAATGATATAATTATCATTATTGTAGGTTATTATTAAATTAAAATTTATGATAATTTTAATTATATACTGTTACAATCTAAATGTATTATTTAGTAAATAACATTAATGATAATAATAATAATAGTTTTTCATATATTATTATTATTATTATTACCAGAATATAATATTATATTTTTTTTTTGATAAACTATATAAATTTTATTGYTATTATTTAAATAATATATTAGAAAATTTACTTTTGATATTTATAATATATAATATTATATATATTTTATAATACAAAAGTAATAATAATATACTAATTATTTTATCATATATTTAAAAACTATTATTAATGATATCAAATGATAGTACAGTATATAATACTAATAAATTAAATATATTTTCAAAAATATCTTTAAAACTTAATCCTATCAACAAAAAATAAATTATTTTACTTTTTTATTTATATATAAATCATATATATATATAAATGTTACAATTTATTATCATGCTAAATATATATATATATATATATATAGAAAATAAGTTTATAATCTTATAAATAAATTATAAAGTTTTATTTAATGATTACTTTTTTAGTTTAATATATATATTATAATTTATTATTTCTAAAATAAATAATTGGCATAAAATATATTGAAAATTTCAATATATTTTTCTTAAAAAAATGTTTGTTTGATAAAAAATAATTGATGATAATGTTTGTTGTTGATGATGATGATGATAATAATACTAAATAAATAAATAATACTAAAATCCTATTAAAATTATAGATTTTAATCCTCAATTTGACAACAATATTATAAAAATTTTATTATTGCTTAAATGATTAATGATAACAATGAT